GTTTCATCCTTTGCTTGTTCGCCTTTCCGAAACCATGTTCTGCAGCGAACTTATGACAGTACCATGCTGCTCCTTTAAAAAATCAATAGTAACTCTATTTTCATACCCATGATGAAAGTAATCTTCTATAATCCTACGCAGATCGCTTTCGTCCATAACCAAAAACGAGTTCCAGTTCATGCTGTTTTGGCGGGAAACTCCGAACTATTACCCAGTCTTCCTTGGCGTTGCGTTCCAACTTTTTTGTTTGCGTTTTCTTTTTTTGTTTGTTTGCGTTGCATATTTTATTTGCTGCAGTATTTTTTGTTTGCGTTGCATTTTTTTATTTGATGCGGTCCTTTTTTTGTGTGTGTTTTGATTTATTTTATTTGCTACAGTATATTTTCATTTGCTGCAGTATATATTTTATTTACTGCAGTATATTTTCTATTTGCTGCAGTATATTTTTTATTTGCTGCAGTATATTTTTTGTTTGCGTTGAGCCTTCTAGGCCACCGTCCGAAGCGTATCACAGACATTTTTACCGACAAATTTACATGTCGAGGAGACATCTTCCTGATTGAATTAATAATAAATAATTAATAATTATTATAATAATTTATTAATTGTTCAATCAGGAAGGTGTCTCCTTGACATGTAAATTATTAATTTTTAAAGTAGTCTGTGTGGATAATGAGTTCTCAGTTCAAGCCCGGGTTTGAATGACAGCCTGACCTAATTTAAGAGTGCCTGTACGAAATTTCTCGCTAACATTTGCTTTCAAGCGCTGATGGTGCCTTGTTCCCCATCATTCCTGCGTCCTGCAACAGTATAAGAAACAGAACAATACGCCGAAGATGCCTTTAGCCAAAATTTTCGTAAATTCGCGGAAACTTATTAGTAAACTGTTGATTTCTGTACATCCAATCGAACACTTTCCCAGCATTGCCTTTATTCATGAGCTGCTGGTTGTTACACTAGTTGACGAGCCGAGCTTTCTCTGGTACGAATTCATGCAAAAAACAACTATTTCCCTTCTTCTGTAGCGACCACAAAACGCTCTCTTATCTTAAATTAACTTTTAAACAAAGACTTATCGTAGTAGATGAAAGGTTCAAAAATTGGGGGATATCTCAGGATAGCCCTTAAGGTCCCGTGATTTAGAAAAGAAAATTCTCTTTTTGACTTTAGGGTTATAGCAATTGTCAACTAGTTTTCGCAAAGATATTAAAATAAGAAGTGGAGAGAGCTTCTAACGTAATGAGTTTAATCAAAAGTAGCAATGTTATCATTAATCATGCAACATGTGTGCTGAGTTTGTTGTTCGCGTGAACCATGGAAACAAAATTGACACAGCTCATTAAAAGAAATGATCAACTGCTAAAGATAGCCTAGTTTCCATGGCAATTAAGTCACGTGATCTTCGTAACCCCCTAAAACCCACGAATAATGTTCAGAAAACAATATACCAGTGACTTGAAGTGATTTGACTAAGCTTACTATTACAAATAACCAGCTGATAAATGTTGCCTCGTTTCCATGCGTAGAAGTTGGACTCTTTAAAATATGCCCCACAAAAGCCCTCGGTACTTTTCCGCATTGCTTAGGACCAGGGTCTAACCTAGTGGCTTGCTTCACAAAATTCCCATGCTCCGGACTATATAAAGTGCTGAATTTTCAACGTGACGCACCTGGGGGTATGCACAATCAAACAAAGAAACAAAACAAAGATAACTCTAATGTAGTTCAAGCATGGGTTAGACAACCTTGTTTTTGTGAGTCTCGTTTGCGGGATTCAATTTTCATTGCCTTATTTGGTCGCAGCAGATCTCACAATCACTAATTCTGTACTCAAGAAGTGTTCTGTCAAAGAATTGTCTTGCATACTCCGGTTTGATATTGGTATCTTAAAGTTTACGTAAGCTTAAGATCATTTAGTGTATCGGGTTGATTGACTCGGTTTGAGACAACCCTCTTCCTAATCAGCTAAAGGTCATGACCGGCTAATTGATAAACTTTTATATGAGGAATTGTTGTTCACTGAACTGAAAACCACTGCAAAGATGATGTGCACAAAAGAAAGTTTGATGCTTTTCTCAATTTTATTCATCTTCGTCTTCTTTATACCACGTCAATCGATTGCAGGTAAGAGAGACTTTGAATGTTATTCTTTACAGAGTCAATAAAAAATCCAAGTTCGTTCGGCTACGAATCACATCACAGACATTTTTACCGACAGATTTGCATGTTGCGAAAACACCTTCTTGATTGCATCAATGATAAATACAATGAAGAAAGAAAGACTAAAGATTTCAATATAGTCTGTGTTTGGATAATGAATTCTCAGTTCAAGCCCGGGTTTGAATGAAAGCCTGACCTGATTTTAAAAAGCCTGTACGAAATTTCTCGCGAACAATCGTATTCAAGCGCTAATGGAGCCTTGTTTCCCATCATTCCTACGTCGTGCAACAGTATAAGAAACAGAACAATAAGCCGAAGATGCCTTCGACCAAATTTTTCGTAAATTCGCGAAAACTTCTTTGTAATATGTTGGTTTCTGTAGATCCAATCGAACACTTCCCTAGCATTCCCTTTTATGACGCGTTTGATTCCTAACAGGGACATTAATTTATGAAAGCTTCTGGTTGTTACATCAGTTAACAAGCCGTTCACACTAAATTATTGGGACAAACGTCAGAAACTTTTGGAATTCTCGTTAAGTAGATAAAGAAATTGACAAGCAGATGTCTTCCAATATGTCATACTATTCGACTTTTATTTATTTTAATTGTTCACATCAGATGGTTATTACTAGGCTGGTTGCAAATAGCGAAGAGCTAATCGCGGCAAGCCAGACAGTTGACAAATAACTTCACAAAATTTTATACAATGAATATTCACATACAATTACAACGTGTAGACATTAATATTCGTGCTTACAAACGTCTAGGTATTAGGATAATATGTAAAGAGGAAAACTACAGACTAAACATAGTTAGAGTTGGTAGTTAATCTTTTATCTTATTAATTAGAGTATCTATGTCAACATAGGAGTTTTCAGTTTCTTAGAATTTCGATTAATTTTGTTCTAATCTTCATCGTCTTTGAGGATCGAAATATGACGGTTTGAAATCCGCTCAAATCCTATCAAAAAACTTGTAGCTAATTCACTTGCCTAATTTATACGATGATTTTTTTTTATTATGAACGAAAACAATACGTATTACACAAGCTGAATCTCTATCTAAAACTTTCATACACACATGAGGCGCGACTATCTGGTAGCACCATTTTACACTTTTATTAGGCGACCGACGGATTGACTGGTCAAAAAAAATATACTCTCTTCCTAATCGAATTACTTGTAGTGGTCAAGAGAAACCAATAATGAACGTGATAGGGTTAAGAAATTAGGCGAGGATACTTTTTTAATAGCAAAGTTTCAAAAAAAGAAATTTACCGTATGGAGCATACAGTCGTTAAAGAGCATTTGCTAAATTTGAGCGTTATTACCCTTAAGTATGAAGACACAGTACACTTTCGAAAATCGGTAAATAAGGGCTTTGTTTAGTTAAAGAAACCGGTATTTCTTCGTTGAGCGATTTCTAAAGACCCACCTTTGACTTTCATTTTCTCCAATCAATTTGTAAACAGCCTTGCTGTTATTGCACATAGAGAAATAGTCAATTCAGCATCGAAAGTAATCTTTAATCGGGATCTTTGCCTTGGTTCTGCTAAACTTTGCCCTACGATTGGTCCAGAAATCTCACCCCATCCTCTAAACCAATCAGATTTAAAACTAAAAACAATAGCGACTTGTTCATTCGTGTTTTCCCGCGCTTCAAGAATTTAGCCAAGGATAATTTGAACCTTTTTATCTAATCGGTCGCTGGGATAACTTTGGTTCTGGTTTTTTGACACTTAATTGAAAACTGCTCTTTTTTTCAAAGTGATTATACCCATTCCCTTATTCGTTTAGACCACAATTATGAATGAACCATGCATTTTATAGTATTCCTTTTCTTTGATTTCAGAAGCTTCTCTGATTGGTAACTATGACATCATTAGATGCTACGAAGTCGACATCACATTTCACTATCAAATTGATGGAGGCCTCACAAAAAGCACCATAACAAACACCAAAGTGCAGTTTTCTTCTCTTTTTCAACTATTGCCCGGCCTTCTCTCGTCACAACCAGGTTGCAGTGGTGTGGTGGTCACCAGGAAAGATATACTCAGCTCTCCGTCGGGAGTGAAAAGTATTTTTTTTAGAATTCCAATGATATTCACAGCATCAACAAATGTGGCAGATAGTCAAGTTTCAACAAAGATTACAGCTTGTATAAGTACCCTGACGACAACATACAAGGGATCCATCGAGAGCAACACTCCGAGCATTTCCCAAAATGGCACCAGCCATAACAAGTACAATGTATCCACCATATCAGATAAGCGATCCTGCTGTGGCAAGAATATACCGCCACCCTGTTGTGCCGTGGGCTCAGTTAATGTGTCGAGCACTAAATGTGGTAAGTCAATAAAACGCATGGATTTTTCTTGCAATTGGACCAGGATCAGGGACAAGCAATTATTTATCACCTGTGGGGAGGGGAGGGGGCGGACGACTTTGAGTTGGAACATATCACTCACATGGGGGTGGGAGCATTAACTGCCAATGAGCAAAGAGGGGAGGATCATAAGAATGTTACAAAGCCTTAGGATGGATCGAGTGTATTTTATGTGACACGACAAACATCCTCCGACCACCCACCCTCCCCCCGGAAATAAATAATCACTAGTGCCCAGGCCGAGTTCTTTCTCCTTTCTTCAGGTTGTTTGCCAGGCTTCCATTTTGTTCCTGGCAGTTTATGTCAGCGTTGTCCTTCAGACACCTATCAGGACGAACAAGGTCAAAGTTCATGGAAAAAATGCCCAGGAGGAAAACAAACATTTGGAAAAACAGGAATGACCAGCAATTCCAGCTGCTTAGGTGAGCCCGCAACATCAGGGAAATTTCGTTGATGAGTGAGTGATGTAATGGCACCATAGAAAATAAACTTCCTGTTGCCTCACTTTCATAGGCC